TGGCAGCTATACATATAAATAAAATGGCATGAAATGGCTATATATATAAATAAAATAAAGACTGCAGCTCCGGCCAAGCTTTAAGCCAAAAACACCAGCCTGAGGATGGCGAGCGAAACCTCGCCAAAACGTTGCCAAGACAATCTCAATCTTACACGGGAAAAGACCCGAAATACAACAAGACCAGTGTGTGTGTGTGTGTGTGTGTGTGTGTATAATATAATAAGAGGAAGATTCCTTATTTTGAAAGCAAATGCAAATGACAGCCAACCACCTGCTTTCCCCAGAGAATACTAAAAGCAAATTCTACAAATGAGGGATTATGGATTACAATGAGGAGTAGAAACTCAGAAGACAGGACTGGGCTCTTTTTTAATGTATTTTTTTTCCTGAGCAATTGTAATTGGACAGGAGAAGACAAACACAGGAAGACAAGAAACCATCTTCAAAGTATTCATACCCAGAGTCATGAACCTGGCCCATCTTTTGCTCCTGTACCAGCTATTTTATTTAATTTACCATTACACTCGGTGAATTCAAAATGACAGGAGGAACGGCTGTGATTGTGATCCAAGGCACTCAAATTCAATTTATCATCAGGGCTGTTTGTCCTGTTTCTGGCTTAACCCCTCAAACAAGTACACAGTACACATTTGGGTAGTGTAGTGGATCCAGAAACCTTCACAAATTAAGGATCTTCCAGATTGCCCAGGTTTTAACTCTATGTACTCCCAACCATCAGAGCCACCAGGAGTGATAGAAGGCAAGATAAGAACCTGGGTCTATTACTGAAAACTCCCACTGGACCACCAATCCAGCCATAGGGCCCGAAAGGTTTTCTGGGTCCAGTCATTGTTTCTCAGCCTAATTTGCTCTGCAAGGTTGGGATTTTGCAAGAAGATCAAAGGAGTAGAGGAAAATCTTATAGTCTGCCTTCATGTTTTGAAGGAAACTCTAAATAAAGGAGAATATTTGTAGTTTAGAGTTGAAATGAGGGGTCCCTGGTGCTCTCTGAGCTTGCTAGTTTTCTTGCAGCCACAAAGGTGGTTTTTTTTTCACATTTCGCTTCTCACCCAAGAAGCTTCTTCAACTGTTCTGAAGTGAAATATCTTCAAGGAAAAACAAAGAAAACCCAGTTGCCTTTTGAAAAACCATCTTTGGGACAACCATGACCTGGATGACTGAGAATCTTCACAGGCATTTACTTGCAGGAATTTCATTACCCAAACTAGGTAACAATTACGTAGCTAACTAGGTAACACTAGCACAGATGATGTTATGAAGTTTGGGTAATGAAATATCTGCAAGGAAACAACCAAGCTCAGCAAAAATCTAAATGTTGTTTGAGTGGTATATAAATTCTATACTCAATAATCCTAAATTGAATAACAAAACTTAAACAATCAACAAGTTTATAAAGAGAATAAACAGAATGCCAACTTTCTCTGAATTTAGAAACCTGATATTAGCATTTAGAAATACTTTTCTCTAATAATATGTTGCCTCTCAATTTTTTTTTTACTATAGTTTCCATGATCCCTGATTCATGATCTTATTACTTAGAATTTATAATTGCATCCCAAAATATCTGACAGAAATCACGCTACCTATAAAGAAGGAAAAGGTGATGACCCTCAATTGGCTTTTGACCTTGTATCATCTGCCCAGTTTCTATCTAAAGAAAAAGACCCCCTCCCCTTTCTCTCATTTTCTTGAGATAGGTCATGATCAAGGGGAAGAAGGGGAATAATAACTCAGTACAATCTTCAGAGACAGTTTTTGATTTTGATAAGGCGTCTTAAAAATGGAAGGTGAGGGTGAGGGAGAAAAGCACAACTCACCCTTTGAACATGCAATGCATCTCTCCCATCCCACCAGCTCAAGCAGAGCCTTTGGGAAATGCCACAGCCCCCCACGACCCAGTTCCGTCATGCCATCTGATCATCCACCTCCCCCACTGGCTCCCACCCACACATCTGAAAGCAAAGCAGATGCGCCTACTGTGGCTGCCTGACCCCAACCTAGAAGGCAGGAAGCCCCAGGTCTGGAGATGATAAGAACAACTCTGCCCCCCACCCTTGCAGGAAACCACAAACCCCCAGGGCTCCCCTGGTGATCGCTACTGCTGAACTGGCATATCAGTGGAGACTTCCTTGGGCATCGCACGCTCTCTCCCTCCTGTTGTTGTTCCCAAATAATCTCTCTTCTTAACCATATCTATCACTCGCGCACTCCCACCCAGGATTTCTGAAGCTATTTCTCAAGCTCTCTCTCTCTTTCTGAAAGGGATTATCGTAAGGGAGCCACTTTGGGAACAACTGATGTTTCCCCAAAACAGTATAAAAGAACCTCAACTGGGCTGCCTATTTATATGGACTGCACTACCCTTTCTGCTCCCAGCTTTAGAAAGGCAGAAAGCACTTCCTTCACAAAGGTGTGATGTAGAACATGTCCAAATAGGAACACAACACATCTGTTCAATGCCCGCCACCCTTCTGAATGGGCTAGAGCACATACATTAGGTTCACCAGCCAACAGATGGAGCTGTTTGGAGAGAGCTGTTAATGCACTAGAATCTCCAGGACTGGACCATGTCCAAATGGCTCATCTACCCACAGCATTTCTCTTCTGCTCCTTGAGGAAGACTTCCAGACCAAAATTATCTACCAGTCTTAGTCCAACCAAACAATGCAATCCCTTCAGTCCCCGTCTATTTCTTAGGGATTCTTCACCACCGATCTCTCCGTTACAAAATATTGTCTCTTGATTTGGGAAGCCAGACATGATGGTCCCAGTAAATAAGGAAATACTGCTCCTCCTCCCAGATGCCAATTTAACCCAATCCCCAGCACCCGTGCGATAAACTTGTGGCAAACCATGGCACCCCCAAGGTTCCTTAGCCCCAACTTTCCAACAGTCCTTTTCAATAGACCCCAGAGATCCTCACCCCTCTACAACCAACTAGGAAGAGGCCAAGTTCTTTTAAGTGGGCGTCTCCCAGCTTAAAATAGACCCTTTCTCTCAGCCTGTCGACTCACCACTTCAGAGTCTTCGAATCCATGGAGATAGGAGTCGTCATACATGGGGGAAGGAAAGAATTGTTGAGGAAGCCAAGCCGAGAGGGAAAAAAGATAGGAGCTCTTCCAGATGGACAGAGGTCTACAGCTGTGCCCCCTGCCCCAGTTGGGTTAGGGGCAGCAGGTGGCTGGCACACAGTGGCAAAGCAACTCAGCCTGCTATCGATCTGATTCCCCCACCCTGGATGCTCTCATTCTCAGCTGAGCAGCAACAGCAAAAACAATAGCGCCCACCCACCAGCCCTCCCTTGGGGGCAGGCACAGAGACAGGCAAGTAAGGAGGGAGGCGAGGCAGGCAGTGGCATCTGGACAGTGCAGCTCTATCCGCACTTCCTTATAGCAACACCGGAAGATGTAGGGTTGGGGTGCCAGGGGGCATGAAACAGCAGGACACAACAAGGAAAGAGCTGGCCATGAAGAGGGTTCTTGGAAGTGTGGAACAATCCCACCGGATGGGAGGAGAACAAGAAGTGTAACCACACTTTCCAGCAAATGCATCCCCATTTGACTGCTTCCCAAGAGTTAAGTGGGTACCAGACAATTTACCAGAGAGATGCAGGAAAGCATACTGAGACATCCAACCTGCGTGTGGGTGGAGACCCATGGGGTTACCTGCCCCAATAATGCAAGGTGGGATGGGATGGGCATAGCAACACGGGACAAGCAAAATCACATGGACAGGGAATCACAGAAGATAGTCTTATCATACACCAGTTTCCTTAATATCAGATTTTACCCAGTTACCAATCATCCTAATTTCCTGCTCACCACATTCCTAGTCTTCATGCCAACACAGCCTTTTCTGGAACCTTTGACAATCTTGAGAGGCATCCTTGGACAGAAGCCTTGATTCCTATTTCACCAACCTACTTCTTCTCCCTCACTTCATTGGACAACTTCTACCATTCCCTAGAGCAGTGTTTCTCAACCTTGGCGACTTGTCCTGTGGACTTCAAATCCCAGAATTCCCCAGCCAGCTATTCTGGGAGTTGAAGTCCATAGGACTTAAAGTTGCTAAGGTCGAGAAACACTGCCCTAGAGGATGGGAGCTACAGTCTAACACTTATGGACATCACCAGATCGTGGAAGACTACAACCCATTTTACTTTTGCCGAGATCTTCGACTTTACATGAACAATTGCACATACATGATCCAACCAGTTTTCCACCTTTACCTACGTCTTGACCCTACCAACTCTGGGATAGACGATGCCTACCCACCTGCACTGGGCTGACAGAAACGAACACGGTTGGCAGGGGCAAAGAGAGGAGGGTAGGACTTGGGCAGGAAATGGGCCAGATGGGGATTTTCCCCCTGCAATCCCCCAGGCGCTGGTTCCATCTGCCTCTTTGACTTCAGTGCCAGAGCTGCTGGCACAACCTAAATCTCCGCCCCACGCCCATTTCCCATCCAAAGTTGGAGAGCCGTCCAATATATTTGGCGACGGAGGGGTTAACAGCAGCTTTTTGCAAAAAACGAGATCCGATCTCATCGTCTCTTCACACAGGAGTTTTCACTCTTTTCCCCGCTGAGATACCAAACACACATCACCGGAATGCCGGGAAGGGGAACCATGGTCGAAAAGAGAGGGGGAGAAGGGGGAAAAAAAAACCAGTCCCTCTTCTCCTGCTCCCAGACGTCTCCTGCCCATCATTCCGCCAGGCAAGGGCTCCGGTTCCGCCAGGAGTTGCATTCAGGGCGGCGGGGAATCTGGGGGAAGAGGGCTTAGGCAGGACCGCCCGCGCCGGTCCCGGTGCTTAGCAGCAGGAGGAGAAAACGGAGCAGGGAGGCAGACAGGGAGGAGGAGGAGGAGGAGGAGGAGGAGGAGGAAGAGAAGAAGGTAAGAGGGGTTGAGTACAGCGTGGTGATAGGCGATGGCAACGGCGGCGGCGGCGGCGGCTGCGCGGTGTCTGTTAAGTTACCTCGTTGAGCAGGAAGGTAGCGCTGGAGTCAGAAAAAGACATAGACAGACGGGGAGGGAGCCGGCTGGCCGGCGAGGCCCGGAGTGCGGTGCCAGCTGGGAAGGAAGGAAGGAGGGAGGGAGGCGCCCCCCGCCCCCGCTGCTTTCCCCGCCGCGCCGCTCCCAAGCGCCTTCCTCGCCCTCGCCTTCTTCTCTCTCGCTCTCCAGATCCAGCGCCGCGCGCGCCGCCGCCGCCGCGCATCCCTCTCCGCCCCTTTTCGCTTCCCCCTCCTCCCGTTACGCGCCGCTCGGATAATGAGGGGGGGGACGGACGGACGGGGGACGTGCCAAGCGCTAAATAATCACATTACTCCGGGGGAGGGGGAGGGGGAGGGGGTGCGCCCAGCCGAGCCCGTTGAGCTCACTTCGCGCGGCGACGGTGGCGGCCCGCGCCTTTTCCCGCCGTCTCCGCTACCACCACCCCCCTCCGTCTTCGCAGACGGCTCAGCCGGGACCGTCGACTGAAGCTGCAGCTGCGGTTGACTCTTCGGGCGGCTTCTTCTCGGATGCTCATCCAGCAGGAATAGCGGGAGGGAGGGCACCTTGCAAACCGGGAGGCAAGATTGTGGCAGCCCAAGCGGCTCACCTACCCACCTCCCTTCCTTCCATCCTTCCATCCATCCATCCATCCATCCATCCATCCATCCA